TGCACTAGAAATATTTGTATTAAAGGCTACAACCACTGTGAATGATCTCTGACAACTTTGCACACTTGCAAAAGTGAGCTTTTGGAAGCCAAAAATCAAATCACAATGCATTATTGGTGTGTGTGAGAGAGAAATTAAGAGACAGAATGAGACTAAAATGAATAAAGTGAGTAGAAAAGGGTAGGATGGGGTAGAGGGGCTTTTGTTGGTGGAAGGCATGCAGAAACTATGCGGTTTTCTCAAGGACAAGTTAGACAGGGCAGGCCACCTCACAGAGGGAAGCTGGAGTCTCCATGGTACCATGTGGAAAAAGGGAGGGAAAAAATCCGGGCCAGAATGAAAAGAGGTAACCCTAGCCGCTGAGGTGGCCTGATAGAAGTCAGGGGCCAGGGTATGGCTCCCCCTTTTCCCCATCCACACCCACTTTGTGTTGTGTTGAGTGCAAGGAAGAAACTCCTCTGCTTAGAGCCAAGATAAGCAAATATAATGGTGCCACACATTAGGTTACTGTAAGGAAGGAGAAGGGAGTAAGCGAGAAAGTGAAAGGGAGAGTGTGTCTTAGTTCTATCAGTAGTCCAATCGGCTCCTCCTTTTCTTGACATTTAAGAATAGGGAGCCATGTGATAAGGAGATCTTTCTCAAGCTGAACTAGCACCAGAAAGTGGCAGCTGAGCCTGAAACCACACAGTGTCAAGGCCTTACCATGCTAAAGAACTGCTAATAAATCAGCAATACATTTTCATATTGAACCTGCAGCCTTCTATTTCATCACATTGTTATTATTATATACTTGTTATATTTAAAGAATGTGAATATTTTTTAAATATGAATATGTATACTATAAAATTATTAAAATAATTGTTGCTATATATACAGAGTATATAAGAACACACACTTATATAATTTATAAATGATATAAAATTTAAATAAACCATTTAGTGAGTTTTGTCACTGATATGTCACTATTTATTGTTGAAATATTAAAGAAAAGTCTGGAAGTAAATTCAGTGGCTGTCATATCTTAGGGCCAGCGCAAATTGAAAAACTGGAGGAACAGGGCTCCAGACTAATTTTTACACTGGTTGCACTGGCGCTACCAACTTTCTCAGTTGGTCGCACCAGCATATGATTTGGTCGCACCATTTTTGTTGTTTTTTCAGCCAAAGACATTTTTGCTATCTATCTATCTATCTATCTATCTATCTATCTATCTATCTATCTATCTATCTATCTATCTATCTATCTATCTATCTATCTATCTATCTATCTATCTATCTATCTATCTATCTATCTATCTATCTATCTATCTATCTATCAGCATCATCTTTCTATTTTTTTAAAAACATTAAACATTCAAATGCATGCATTACATTTTAAAAGATTAATAAGCTAATACAGATTTTTCGCTATCAAAGTTTATAGTTAAAATCAGAATTCTCACACTCCTTACCTTCTGCATTTTTTAATAATTTCCTTTTCCTCAGTCGAGCGATTACTCTCATCTAACCGCTGAAAAGACGTAGGAAGGGGCACGCTGTTTCGTGAGACATTTTCATTTTTATATGCCTTAATTTGTGAATTCGTAATTTCGTAATTCGCAATGCGCGTGACGTATATGTTCGTCAATAAATAAACTGCACGTGTCTTGGGGAAGAACACTGTAGCCAGAGCTACTTCTCTCCATTAATGTCTATGGCGAGTCACGCAGGCAATGGGCAACTCCGCATCCGAATCGACCCGGGATAAAATAGTCCGAATATAAACACTTATTATAGGCGTACCGTAGTGATTCAGGAGTCAAAAAAGTTTGGAAAATGGATTCATTATGTAGCCTACTGCAGATTGCACAAATGCGACCATATAAAATTTTAACTGCAACTGTGCCGAAAAAAACATGCGAAAAAAGTGAAAATCAGCAAAGAAATAACTAGAGTTGCCAAGTGCCCCTTTAAATAATGGCGCAAATACCAGTAAATTGACAAACGCAAACCATAGTAAATCACCTTGCGTGATTCCTTTAAATACTCTCCTCCCATAAATTTTGCGTCTGAAAGGGAAACTCCTACAAATGCACATGCAATAAGGTCAGCCGCAAAAATAACTATCCACACCTGCCCAGCACTAATTTTTCACTGTCTTTAGTAAATCCTGACCATATTTTTTAACACCAAAATAGGGTTTGTGCTGACGCAAGCTCTCAGTAAATCTTGCCCCAATATTCACATGTGTGCATTTCGATAGTCTACAACTCACAGATTCACTGCATATCTGTGGCACACAGACTAGCTCCTTCTGTGTTTACATACCTGTAGATTGTAAAACTATTTTGGAAATGCATATCTGTGTCAGCCAAATGTTAAGAGTGACAAAGGGCCATAAAGACAAACTAGGTTGAAATAATACATGTAAATAATAGGATGTAGACTGCATCCTGTTAAGGAAATGCATCCTCAAACTGGCAGCATTATCTGAACTGAGGTCAGAGAGTGAGAGGCGACAATGCACTCCTGGCCCAGGATGAGCTGCTAATATTTACTCTGAGCACAAATGGGTTTTCCTGCACACTTCCTTTCTCATGATATAAACATAAATATACATGAACACAAAAAGACTATTACTTTATCTGTTTTTACTCATCTTTTAATTAATTAGCGTTCTAAAAAAACACTGAGCAGTTTAGAAAGATGGGTCTGTTATCCTGTCCTGTCCAATGTAAAGAAATGCAAAGCTAATTAAACAAAGCTACTGTGGCATGCAAGAAAAATAACATCAAAAAAAAATATATATATATATTTTTATTTATTTATTTTTTTTTTTTTTTGAAAAATCACTTTGGCAAGTAAATCAGGGCGGCTGGCCTCTAAAATAATGAATACTCATGACTGAATCAAATGAAAGAGATTTTTTTAAAAAAAAAATTAAACAAATTTCTAAAAGCAAGTAAAAATATAATATACTTATGACAAGTCAATTTTCTCAATTTATCACAACTAGTAGCAGGTGTGACCAATTAATTTTGCACTTTGGATGTATCTTTGGATCTATCGAACCATCTCTGTCTACAAAATGATATGAATGAGTATGTGACATTATTAACTGCACCCGGCAATATGACAAAACAAAACAAAACACACCATTCACAGATGGAGTTACTTACATAAAATTCAGAATGCCATACCAAACCTTGCATTTCAACAAAGAACTGCACCCTAATATATATATACAACGAGAATATTTAGGCAAAAATTATTCCAGGCCAATTAGGCCTCTATTGTAAGTGGATAAAAGTTTGAAAGCGACTGCTAAATACATAAAGTTAAATGTGAATAATGTTCAACAATCAATTCAGACTTCTAAAGGAGGTGAACCAAAACACTTCATCCATCAATCAACAGAATCTCTAGCTTATATTTCATAACAGGAAATGAGTTAAACGTTTCCCTATTCACCATCAGAAATATCATCTTTCTTGGGATACACAGTAGTATTCCTCAAATGATCAGATGTAGAAATTTAAGAACTGTTTGTACGTTTGATTGGTATTACATGTGACCATTTTTGGATTCCAATTGGTACTGCAGCAATATGGTGCCAGGTAGGGCTTTCTGGAGAAAAGCAGTTGGAGTATATCAAAACCTTGTTTCCAACATGGTTATGTAACTTCACACATTCTGCCCAGCATCGCTACAAAGGCTCCCTCAGGCCTCCGAAACATGTGCAACTACACTACACACAGAGTTTCAGCCCCGTATTTAGTAGAGAAAGATGGTCGCCACTGCCAATATATTTCCTCTTTCCTTTTTTCATCACCCTATTCAAATCAAAATATGCAAGTGCAATAGTCAACAAAATGAAAACAAAGATTTTAATGGAGGAAAATGGCCTCAGAAAGGTTAATTCACAGTTTTTTTGAGGGATGGAATCTCCTGCTATATTGGCTGAGTATATGCCGAATGCGGCCCTGGAATGAGAGAATGCATCTACGGCTTTCCTGTGGTTTCTCTTCATCTGCAAGTCATAATTAGACCCCGATAGGGTCTCGGCTCCTTGCCTTCTCTTTCCAAGCAAATGGCAAGGCAAAACATTCCCTCTCTTATTTTGCCATGTCCATCTTGTTCTTACCGGTGCAGTTAATATTTACTGAGCATATAGCTGTAGAAGTCACACTCAAAATTTCCAAATGGAAACAAGTGTGGTAACTTTTCACAGACATTCTGTCTTTGAGCAGTGAGGTCATTCTAGCCAAGATCAACTTCGCATTCAGATTCAAATTGACAAAAATAAAAATAAATAATTCATACAATCCATGTGGTTCAGTAATCAAGATTTAGGTCTGGTCGGGTTAAAAAAAATGTATTTGCTGTTTCATCAACGTAGCAGGAAATAAACAAGGAGAAAAAATGAAAGATTTCCATGATTGCTTATGGGAGACCCATCAATCTACTTACAAGACATGTTTCAGAGCTAGACAATCTGGGAATAACACATGAACTCAAAGCAGCATGTTTTATTTTTGTAAAAAGGACAAAGTCAAGTTCGGAAGTCTTTGAGTTTTCTCAAAAAAAAAAAAAAAAAATCTTAACAGCGACCATGTGGACAACTCAAGTGTAACATACGCCTGAATTTCAGCCAAAGACATTGATAACCATTGTGCACTGCTTATGTATGACAGCTTTGTTTGCCCTAGGGTAATAGAAGGCAATTATTGCAGACCAGTGACCGTTAAATGTCTGTCTCTTAGTCCAACTACAATTACCATCAATTACCACAGACTGATATTTACTAAGTACACAAGGTCATGGCACAGTCTGTCACAAGTGAAATTGAGTCCCTATCTGTCCACAAACGGGCTCTTTACAGGTACTGCCCATACAGGACCTCGCAATTTTATAAAACACTGTAATAATACATTATCTGTTTTTAAGATACAACGGCCTATTTAGACGCAAAAAAAGACAATTATGCAACAAAGAAATGAGAGACAAGGGAAGCTAACTTACTTCCTAAGTACAGGAAAGACTTCAGTGAACTCCACCCATCCTTTCCTGTGTCATGGGCTGTTAGTGCAGCTGCCAGTCAAGATCCCAGAGGAAAGATGCGGCCCTCTGTCCTGGAAATGGGTGGATTTTGTCCATATTTCAAGCCAGTGGCATTTCTCATGGACACACAGCACTGTAAATTTCGATATAAAAAATAGCACCAGTGGTATTAATTATAGACAGACGGTCAATTTGCTTTGGGGAAAAACAACCACGGGACGTGGAGTATGATAACTAGTGATTATTGACTATATTGATTTTGACAACCGTAAAACATCACATTTCAACATTCATTAAGAAACTTTTAAGTTTAGGGTGATGACACTGGACCACACTGGTTCACCCGATGTTTGGTGAAATTTTGCGGTTGACAAAGGCCTACGTCGCGTGCAGTGAGGGCTAAAATATTCCATGCAGATTTCGCCTTTCAGGCGTTGCGCTCGTTGTCTCTTGACTTCCGGTCTGTATTTTCATAGCGATCTTGCATAGATATGAATGAACTGCTCGTAAAAAAAATCCCGGTCGACATTTGTTAAGACATCTGCTTTATAATGCTTATGATAAACATTACAATGCTCATGATAACTTTTGTTAACTCTACAATAATAAATCCACTTCAACAGCTAATTACTCCACGACAGCGATGCCATAGAAATATAGGCTACAGAGCAACCGCAAAAACGGAAGTTCAAAGACAATATTCTAAAAATGACGGCACCCACGTTTCTCTACTGCAAAAGGTCTATCAAGTTCAAGACCAACAGAAAGCAGCTTGGAACTGACACAGTTTTGTCAGTTACGTTCGTCTAGCTGTTTTCGCAGAGAAACACACCGAACACTCTGAATCATTCAGCAGTTTTGAGTGAATCGAGTAACGTTAGCCTAAATGATTTTGAGTGAATCAGTTGAGTGAATGATTCAGTTGCTGAATTCGGAAATGCATACTAGCACACTACTCTTACTATTTCTCGCATAGAAAGATGGTACAACTAGTAAGAGTAGTCTACTTTGCTGTTCCGAATTGAGTAACTTGACATGCTCGTAGTTGTAGTAGTATTCTATTCACTTATTCGTTCTAGAACGAATCAGTATTTTTGACCGAATCCTTTGAATGAATGGTTCACTGATTCACTTATAGTATTGTCGCCATCTATTGGACGTAAAGAACCGAATTCATTTCTTAATATTATCACATACATTTTACAGTCATAGATTTATTGTTCAATCTATAGGTTTAATTAGGTGTGAATGTATTTAAATTGGGCCGTTTAATGTAGATTGCTCATTTTCAGAACATATGGTCATGGACACAATTAAAGTTATTTTAAAGTGTTTGAGAAAACAAATAGAAAAAAAGGTTTATCGTACATTATGGTTACCATTTATTTAAAAAAAAAACCCTTATTAAATTTTAAGCATGTGTTATAGTCAAATTTAAAGTTACATCAATATTCTTATTTCTAAATATTCAGATTTCTTCAAATTCAGTGTCAACACAAAATGTTCTTTTCAGTTGTTTTGAATTGTACACGTTTACTCAATAGGTAAACTGATGCATTTTATAGGCTATGTTTTTTTTTTTTTGATAAATGAGTTATTAAATATGTTTGTTTGGTTATATGTGTTATTAAATCATGTATTTTTAATTAAGACAGGATAACATTTGATAAATCTGGAGCACCTGATCTCAAAAATTGGTGAATTCCATCATCTCAATGGTAAAAATCAACCTAAATTCACATTGGAATTAACACATTGTATGAATGAAATTAAATATTAGCTTGACCTTAGAGTTAATAAAAGGACAAAGAAAAGAAAAAGAAAGAAAACTAGATATCTAAATTAGACCTACAAACAAAAAGTGTCCCACTTTACCTGATTTCACCTAATAGGCTTTACGCCAAAGGCATCAGATTGTGGCGTAGCTAGTAGTGAAAATGTATTTCTGAATGTTTTGTACTTAAATAAGGAAGCAAGAACCATGAAAGCTTTCCAGACAATTCAGGAAATGAATTATGAAACCAGATCTGGGGATAATGCCAAAATAAGCTCTCAGAGGCATCCAATCCCAGACTGTACTTCTAATGGGAAACTGTGCAGGTTGGTCTGTTTCAAAAATTAAGTGAGCTTCCTTCACCCTGTCTCAGTGATAGAGCGGATAGAATATCAGCAAAATACTTCACAGCGGTTCTCTCATGAACTCTTCCATGAATGGCATAAACTGACATCTTCCTAATTGTAGGCATATTCACAGATATGAGAGAAACTGCATTCTCTTCCTCATAATGTAGGCCTTCAAGAGGCTCATTTGAAGCTACTCTGTAAGACAGACCCCCTTGATGCAAAACAATTATCTACACAGGATAATTGCAACATATACATTATTAAAATCAAAAGTTGTATCTGTTAATAATATTTAATGGACCTGAGCTAACATTTGTTATCTGTTCATAAAATGAAACTAGAACTGGGCAGATTCCAGAGATTATGAGAAGATGTTTTTAATAGTTTAGATTTTTTCTCTCTCTTTCTGTTCTTGTCTGTGATTGATTTGAACCAGCAGACAGTGGAATCAATTACTTAATAGTGCAGAAAATATGGCAGATGCTTTTTGAACATTGAACGAGTTTGGTTAAGGAAGTATTGCGGATGGGACGGGTGCTGACTGGAAGGGCAAGACACAGCCTTGTGGATTAGCCTGTGCTGGTGAGCATGATTGACATCATCCTTGAAGAATATCCTCTTTTCCAGGTGAAAACGAGTGGAATCAAGCATGAAAAGTTTGGAATCATCAAGACGGCACCAGTTGCGGAATTTATTATAATTATTATTAGGCCTAGCGGTATACATATAGTCAAAAGTATATAGAGTCAAAAGTAAATACAAATATATTTTTAATAATATTGCTGCAAGTATATTTTATTTTTAAATATACTTGAAAATTCAATATATTTTATCATCCGAGTACCAATGTCTCTTATAATGCACTGATGCAACTGACACATAATTTATAATACATTTTTATGTATTCGATTATTTTATTCTATATCAAAATAAAAGACTCTCCTCTTTGTTTTAATTGAACAGCAATGTATTTTGATAAGCTTACAAATATGATTAAACCATTAGGTCACAAATTATGATTAAAGTTACATTTAATGATCTATAATCATTTTGAAGATCACAGATTTATTTGCAAACTGATATTTATAACCCTTTTCTATTAATTACATCAATTGATTTCTATGCATTTTTAATATATGTGAAGCTAATAAACCATTTACACAGATTCTAAGCTATGAGACCAAAAAAACAACAAAAAAACAATTTATTATTGTGGACAACATTAGTATTACGTCTTCATCCGTTTTCATTTCAATAGACATTAGTGGATGATTTAAAAAAAAAAAAAGTACACTCTAAAAAATGCCGGCTTGTTTAACCCAATTTTGGGTCAAATATGGAGAAACCCAAATGTAAGGTTGTAATCTAAAAATTTAACCCAATGGCTGGGTTTGTCCATGTTTGATCCAAAGTTGGGTTAAAATAACCCAGCATTTTTTAGAGTGTAACCTGTTTTCTTCAACCTTCACGTTTCCTTTCAGACTTCATGTTTTTGCTCATGCTGCATGACCTTCTTCTCAACCTTGTTTTGTACTGTTCCTTTGCTTGTCAGATGGCTTGTTTCACATTTTTGTTGAACAGTTTTTGTTCCCGCTGCATATCCTGTTTAAACACTCTTTACTTTCATCAAGGATGGCCTGGGCTGCTTTGGGTTAGTTGTTGGCAATCTGTTTTGTGGATATTATTGAGAATGTTATGTTGTTGTTGATGGTGGGAACCTGATCATCCAGGTTGGAGCTTGTCTTGAGGAACAACTCCAAGGTGGTACAGTCAAATCAGTGTTTGTCAGCTGCTTACATCACCACCTTTACCCTAAACACTAACATTTATACATCAACAGTGAATCTTACACCTGCATTATTCAGCTAAATAATTACCTAGGAGGCTACATGTGTTTTGTTCATAGTCAAACTCAAGGCCTAAACAACTTAATAGAGAAAAAATACATACACACACTGACTGCAACTTGAGCATGTTGACAGATTAACATGACCAGAGGGAATTCAAAATTTCTTTTAAAGCTTCTTTTTGCTTACCACGTTTCTAGTAGAGAAAATGCTTTATTTTGTGAAAATACAAAATGCTGTCAATCCGTGAGCTTGTAAAAGAACTAAAGTAAAATTTATCCAATGAAACTAAAACAACATGAAGAGAGAGGAAAAAAAAATCAAGACTCACCAATAATGAATGGCTATGGTAGAAAATGTCCCAATCAAACATGTTTCTGAACATTGAAAGACAGTACAAAATGTGCAGACAAGGTTTGAATGTGCGTCTGTTAGGGCAGAACAACATGAACAGCACTTCGGTTTATCGCTGCAAAAGGCACATTTGCCAAATAGACACTTGATCACCTGAAAATGATTCTGAGAGAACGTGAAGCTGGGGAGCACATAAATTCACTCTTGTTTTGAGTTATGGAGCCTCTGGTGACTAATAACTAAAATGTTAGGCTGAGCAATCACAAAGAGCATATGATTCATGTGGTATATGATGGGAGCTTTAAAAAGGATAAAATGTGTTTATTTATATTATATATCATGAGAAGTATGTTTTTCCCAAGTGTAAAGAAAAATTGACAGTTAATTACAGTTTGAGCTTGTTCTAGCTCCTTGCTTGACAGATATTTAAGCCTTCAATTGTCCAACATGAGCTATTTCAGCCCATTCTCACCCCCAATGACGCCTTGGGAAGCATTTGGACATGCTTCAATATCTGACGCTTTAGGCGCCCTTTAGCGTCAGTTAGATGACGCCCTAGGATCGCGTGTACCCTACCCCCACCCCACACCTAAACCTAACTGCGTCCTCTAACTGACGCTTTCCTTTAGCGTCAGTTAGATGACGCCGTAGGATCGCGTCATGTAAGTGACGCTAAAGGGCGCCTAAAACGTCAAATATTGAAGCATGGTCAAAGGTGACGCCTTGGGGTGAGAATGCGTTGGCTATTTTACATGAGCCCATGTGCCCTGAGCAAAACAAAAAACTAATCAAAGAACAAAAACAAAATAAAACATTAAAGTCCCAGTGTAATCATTTTATCTCTTAAAAACTCATCTTTGATCAGCAAAATTCCAAATTTAAAATGTTTTCCCTGTGAAAGTCTTTTTCTTCATGCCTTAAAGGGTCATGAGGGGTGCCTTAAAGTCCCCGTGAACCGGAAGTCGCAAACGATTTTTCTCCAGTGCTGTGACGTATTTCCAAGTGAAACGGAATATTGAACAGAGTTGTACTCTAGCGCT